GACATTCTGCACGTTCTGATAAAGTGAGAACATCCGAATTTATTCAGGAAGTCAAGCACACAATTGATGAAAACCTAGGTCAATCAATTAGGTCAATTGCCAAAAAGCTGCATATGTCTGAAAAAACAATCAGAAGGAGTATTCATGAAGACATTCGATACAAGTCCTACGTGATGAAGAGAGGTTAATTTGTGTCTGAAAAAAACAAAAGAAAACCGTTTAAACAGATCAAAAAGTCTTTTAAACAAACTTAAAAATCCTTCAGAAGCTGGTATGATTTGTTTTGGTTTTTTTTTCAGATGAGAAAAATTTTGATCAAGATCAAAAACTTAACAGAAGAAATGACAGATGGCTTTGTTCAGAACCTTCTGAGATGCCAAGAGTGATACGCACAAAATTTCCTTCAAGTGTTATGGTATTGGGTGTTCTCAGCAATGTTATGCCACCGCACTTTTTTCCATAGGGTCTTAGAATAAATGCTGCTGCTTACATTGAGGTTCTAGAAAAAGTTTTCAAGCCCAGGATTGACAACATATGCAACGGCAAGCCTAAAATATTTCAGCAAGACACGGCTCCATCTCACAAGGCTCTACGAACTCAACCATTTGTACGACCACATCACACTAGACTATTGTGTGTGGAGCGTTGTTGAGAAGGAGATTAATAAACAGCCTCATAACACCAGTGTCTCTTAAAGCTGCAATAGTTCGAGTAATGCCTGATATAAATAAAGACCAATTAATCAGAACTTGCCGGCGATTTTGACCTCGTGAGGAGGCAGTTATCGATGCTAGTGGTGGTTTTATTGAATAAAATTAAATAATAGTTAGCAAAATTTCATGTCTACTTGCTTGTAATCAAATATGATTATATTCATTTGTTCAGCAAGTTTTTTACTAATCCATAAAATCTGTCCTCAAATACCAGCCGCACCCTGTATATATATATATATATATATATATATATATATATATATATATATATATATATATATATGCTTTATTGGTTGCTAAGAAGAGTATGTGTATGTTATCTTTTCGTTTTTTGTGTTTATGTGTATATATTTGTGTGAGTGTTTGTATGTAGGAGACCTCAACACTTCTGCAAGCATGTCTAGTGTGGTTGAGAAATATGGGTGGGGGTGATCTATGGGATTATATATTAATTCCATCTGTGCTGTTTAGTCTGTTGTTAAGTCATCCGGACAAAGTGTTTTGAGGCGCAAAATCCATTTGTCTTCATGCTCTTCTATTATTTTCTTAATTTTATTTTTTGTATTTATTTCTATTCTTTCAACAATAGTGAATTTCGCATGGTTATTAAAATCATGTTTTTCTTGGCGGAAATGTTGTTCTACAGGATTTAATCCGATTCCGACAATTATTAATTCTGTAGTGAAAGGCCTAATCAGATTTTCCTATATATTGATTCTGGCATAATATGCATTCTAATGAGTAAATTATGTTATTATTACTACAGTTAGAATTGTGGTAGATATTGAAAATAGTGTCAGTGACCAAGCTAGTGAATGAATTGGTGTGTTTAATGTGGCTTCAATATAGGCTCCTTTTGTTGTTACATGGTTGGGAAAATCCTATTATTTTTATTCACTATTCATTAATCATATATATATATATATATATATATATATATATATAACCTTGTAGTATCATGGGTAAGATTTCATTTAATAATCAAATATGTTTCTAGAATATGTTTCTAGAATTTTCTCCGGCTCGCGGTATGTTGTGTATTCAAAATAAGGAAAAAGATTGTTTATACCAGGCTTTCACATTTAAAACAGGGCTCACATTGATCATAGAAAATTATGTGCAGACCGCAAGAGTAAATTTTTACAGTAAATTACTGAATATGAGTGAGATAAAAAAAATGAGATAGCGAGAAATGGAGGAATTTCAATGAAATTCTTTCTTTTTCTACGAAGTGTAAAAATGTTTAATTAGCTACAAAGACAGTGAAATATGAGTTGAATAAAATCATTCTTCTACACAACTTATTTTATTTTATGTTATTTCGTATGCGATCAGTCACCGAATTTATTCTGTCTTAAAAAATCCATCGCGGATCACCGTGGGTAATTTTCTTCAGCTTTGGTCTAGGGTGAAGAATTAAAGCAAGCGTTACTGACAGAATAAGGCTATTATATGTATTATGCGTACACTAACAATTTCCAGCTTCTTTAATTAAAAGAGAATGTTTTATATATAAAAAAACAAAACAGAATTAAGGATTTTAAAAGACTTAAGCCTGGAGCCAAAATTGAAACTACGTTTCTCATTGACGAAAAACGATAACCACCATTCAGAATAAATACTTAAGGACAAAATAGAATCCACCTCTACGATTGGCCCAAAAACCACCAATAGTCAGAAGAAAAAATTAAACGAATCCCTTTCCCTGATGACGTATTCTGGTGCGCGATATCTGCGCATAAGACGAACAGTCTTTAATTTTTATTCAGTCTCTAGTTTTCCAAACGAGACAGCGATGGTACATTTTGCACGCGCCTAATGCAATGAAAAATATATTTTTAATAATATTAATATAGAAATATATTGAAAAAGAGGTTGTTAGCTGTCAGTAATTAGTTCAAGCATGAAGAATATAATGATAAATGTTCTAAATGAAATTTATGATATAAAAATATGATATAAAAATATGCATATCAGACTAATAATGGTTAATGAATAGCAAATGAAAATAAAACGTCTTAGTAATGTATTTTATTCCGTGAAGGAACCATTTCAGACACTGTGTAACCAAATTTTGTTTTTGTTTTCGGTTAGTAAGTGTTATTTCCTAATTTTTCTGATTAGAGAGCAAAAGAAATGGCTTTTATACTTTTTAAACTTTGTTTTTGTGTCACAGCACACTGAGTTCTGTATAGGGAAAAACAACGTCAAATGGAAGCCACAGTTGGACCCCCGGAAAGTATTAATCCCCCCCCTACTAGACTTAAAACTGGGGCTTATGAAATGATTTGTCACATCTCTAGATAAGAAGTACCTTCAGGACTTTTCTTCTGTGGCAAAAGTCAAAGCCGGTGTCTTCGTCCGACCACAGATAAAGAAAATCCTACAGTGCAAGGAATTCTTCAATAAGCTCACTAGGACGGAGAAAGCAGTGTGGAACAGCTTTGTCGCAGTGGTTCGAGGCTTCCTGGGGAATGAAAAGGCTGAAAATTATGTGGAGCTTGTTAATACCACGGCAAAATGGTGTGCAGGATATCCCTCAAAATCCATATCTTCAAAAACGTGGAAGTGTACTCAGAGGAACAAGGCCAGCACTTCCATCAGGATATACTGAACTTTGAACGCTGCAGCAAAGGATCTTATAACGAAAATATGATGGGTGACTATATTTGGGGGTTGATTCATGAAAGTAATTTACGGTATAAGCGTAAATCATAAAAACTACTCACTTCTATTTTTTGTGGTCTTGCGTAATCATAGAATAAATAAATTCTAATTTTGAATCATATGTCGTTTTGTTTCTGCTTTGTGCGAACGAGAATGTTCACATCCAACAGTTTCTCAATGGGAATAGGTAAATTAAAGAAATATAATTATCCTGGCCATGAAACAAAGTTTGAAGGAAATATTAGCCATTTTTCATTCTTTCTAAACGTATGCCAATAGGTGTTATGGTCCAGGTTAGGACCAAGAAAGAACAACACGAACACAAGAGTAGAAATAACGAAGGTATATTACACGAAATAATAATACAAGATGTGAAAGGTGTTAGTATGACTGTCAGTCTGGTTTGGAGTGAACTACTATCGGCTCGACTCGATCCGATATTTACTTGCCCCCCCACGAGGGAAAGATGTGGCACAAGGCCGAGTTTTACCTGAGTTTTCCGAGCCCGTAGGCGCGGCCAAAAAATGTCCGTAGAAACTGTAAAAACTGAATCGGGTTGGTCAACCTACCCGAACGGGGCTCTACCCGTCGGCGGAGCCTCGTCTGGGTTCCTCTCTGCTCAGAGGCAGAGAGTTCGACCGTCAAGCCGAGAAGCTCGGCTCGATTCGGTATCTAAAAATTGCAATCTAAAAATATTTTTTGACATTAAAATAACCTGGAAAACCAATTCTATTTTTGGACCTACATTGTTCCTAATTTTCATCAGTGAACTTCCTGATAACATCAGTTCTCAACACGGTATTTATACTGATGACATAACTATCTACTCCTGTCTTAAGTCTGATCAGTTCGATAAGGTCAAATTGGCAGCTGATCTAAAAAATGGCCTACAACTGGAGCAAAGAATGGCTTTTTAATTTTAACGCCCTCAAAACTAAACTCTTCTCTTTTAATCGTCCGAGAGAATCCTTTTAGCCTTCCAACAGTATGACTGATGCTAACCTCCAAGAGAGTGACTAATTGCACCTCCACGGACTAATCTTTTCCGCTAACATGAAGTGGGAAGATTATATTAAATCAATTTCTAGGTCTGCTGATCGGAAAGTTGATTCACTATGTCATGCTAGATAATTTTTCACTCCAGAATCTATCTTACATATTTATAAGTTTAAAACACGTCCTTGCTTTGAATATTGTTGCCGCATCTGGTGTGATGGTCCTACTATCTACTTAGAGATTCTTGATAAAATCCAAAGTAGAATATTATCTGTCCTGACCTGTCATCTCGGTTTCAGTCACTTTCCCACCTCCATAACGAAGCTTCTCTGTGCCTTTTCTATAAATACTTTGATGGTTATTGTTCTGATTAACTTTCCTCTATACTATCTAGATTTTATGAATTTAAGCGAACTACTAGATTGGCAGTAAGGTCTCATCATTTTAGAGTTGAAATAGCTACGTATGATCGTCTGTACTTACAATTTCTTCTCTCGCACTTCTCGCTTGTGGCTTCTTCCTTCCCAGTCAACTTTGATCTTCAGAAAACTTAAATGCAATGTCAGTCGTTATCTTCTAAATTCCTGTTGTTTTATTGTTCTCTTTCATCAATAATAGCTTTCGACCATATCACGTTGAAACACCGAAGTTAAGCAACGTCGAGCCTGGTTAGTACCAAGATGGGTGGTCGCTTGGGAATACTTGGTGCTGTATGGTTGGATGTGCGGGTGATGTAATGGATAATGGCTCAGAATTGCTAATCGCGAGCCGAGTTCCAATTCGCGTTAAGTTATTTACACTATTTTTCGGACTGTCATCCTCAACTTTATTGGCATATTCACGAATCAGTTACATTTTCTAACCAAGAAAACTACATAATAATATAGCAAGAAGGATGAAGACAGCAGTCCGAATGATATAAATAGTATAAATAGTTACAATACCGCATCTCAGAAATGTAAACAGTTCCCAATGGGTTAGTTATATTTATTTACGCTTAAATACCTTTAAGAAATGTATGAATCCACCGCTTCTGCCTACCCCCAGTTATTAGTATGACTTTTATCACTAAAACCATTATTATTGCCCGAAAGTTAAAATAAATAAATTAAGAATGCGTAGAAAATATTTAGATTTCCGCATTAAATAACCCATAGAGGTTGACATGCTGCTAAACAAAATCAAATGTTGCGTTGCAACTCAGACCAGACACCAGGTTCGTTGACAGGCTACAGTTTATTATAGCTTAAAAATTACCCTTCGGCAAGATCGTTACCCACGAATGAAGAACAAAACAATTTCTAGCAGTAAACCAGATTTTATTCTTGGGTTGTAACTTACTGCTATAAACGAGCGAATAGAGAAGCGGCGTAAGTGAGGGGGTGCACAGTCAGTGGCCGTCTTCCCTGTCCGTTCTACTAGGCTCGCTTAGTTCGTTCTGTGAGCTTTTTCGCGTTATGATCAGTTTTATAGATAACAATTTTCTTTGTCTTGTCATCTTTGTGTAAAAGAATAATTAATCATCCTTACGCGACTTTCTTTCAGTCTGAGCCTCTTGCTCTGTACTTTGAAGTTGACTTCACTTACTGATAACCATTGATCAAAAGAAAATGTTCTGTACCGAGATTTGCGACAGGTGCCGCTGTTTCTCTATTTCACAAGAGCTCAACTGACTCATATTGCTATACAAACAACCAACTCTCCGTAATTGTGTTTCGTCTTAGTGGCTTTATTTCCGTGCTTGAGGTGAAATGATAAAAAAAACTTTAACTGAGAGAAAGGAGGGTTAATATTATATAGCAGTTTAGGATTCTTTTCTTTGTTTCTATGCTAAATGCTACGCGAAACAAGCCTGATAGTAAAGGCGCTGCTATCGTCACCCCTAACATCATAAATACATGTTGGAAGCAGTAATATATGATAACGTTACTCATAAGTATGTCTCGCCGTTGATTATGTTTGCTGGTATCAGTTAGCGCCGCACGTGTAGATAATAAGTAGGAAAACAATCCTTCTCCTGTCGACTGAAATATAAGCGACCACCCAAATAACTGTTCAAATGTTTATGACTCATTGCTGTATTCCCGTTTTCCTACTTAAGATTTATATTTTTGAATGTCTGTCGGGCATCTGGAGGTCAAGTTGGTGTAAGCTTTACCAAGACAGTAAATAAAATCAACCAAACGTGTTCAAATTTCAGTTCAGACTAATTATGCTCAGTTTGCACTAATTCCCTAGGGAAAGACCCTAACCCACGTCTACATTTATTTCCCTATAGCTAGATATCTTGAGAAACAGGTCTCGTCACTGATATGCCGTAATGACAGAGAAAAGTCTGTGGGAGCACTTTGGTAAACGGTTTTAATTTGCCTTACTTGCCTACGTTTGAGTTTCAAATAAACAAGCTGCGACGAGCCTTACGTCAACATGGCTGATGCTAAACTCCAGGAGAGTGACTGATGCGTATACACACACACACACACACACACACACACACACACACACACACACATACATATATATATATATATATATATATATATATATATATATATATATATACTAGCAGAATGGCCTGACGTTGCCCGTGCTTGATTGAAAAATCGTATGACTCATACAGCAATCGTTATCACTTGACTTAAAATATTTTAGTCCTTCCTTTCCTTTAAAGGAGTGCCCTTTGCCGTGCTGATGTTGCTACATGCCTTACTTCTTGCCTATCTCACACTGCGAAGTTTTTCTAAGCTCTATACTAAACATTAAATCTGTTACGAAAAAAGAACTAAACAAAATGAACACAAAACGATTAGCTTTAAAAAAAAGGACTCGTAACTGGAAAAACCGAATGAAAAAAGAATGTTAACAACAAATACTTTTTCACCACCAACCCAGTTCGATTATTTCCACTATCGATGGGAGTTGGGAAATGCAAACTTGGAGCATGTGCATGTAAATTTTGGCGCAAATCCGTTGAAAATTGCGGACGCATTCGGTACACACACACATCCTGCCTTTTTTTTATATATATATATATATATATATATATATATATATATATATATATATATATATATTTATATATATATATATATTGCCTTCCATCACCTCCGATCAGACTCCGAACTACCGCCAGTCACAATGAACGTATGTCCCCGCGAGGAGGCACCATACTGGGTTTCAAACTCACACACGACATCAAGTGGAACTCTTACATACGACCAATCGCTAAAGATGCAGGTAAAATGATCGGCTCCCTGTACAGCTCCAGTAAGTACCTGACTCCTCATACTATCCTTTACCTTTATAAGGATCAGATCAGGCCGAAAATGGAGTAATGTTGCTATATTTAGGCTAGAGCTGCCCTGTCCGCACTTTCCAGTGTTGATAGAATTCAAAAGTCCTTTTTGGAGAAGAATTATTTTCCACCCTCCAACCTCCCTCTCTCGCAAGCGGGATTTGGTGAGCATCTCACATCTCTATTGCTACTTCCATGAAAAGTAATCGGACTACATTCCTCGGTCGCACCAGGTCTAACCTTCATGCCATTTACCAGGTCTAACCCGACCATGCCATTTACATTGTAACAAACCACCCACATTCCCCCCCCCCCGTATTCCATCGGCGAGAAGTTCTACTCAAACAGCTTCTTCTTGCGAACCACCGCTCTGTGGGACAGACTCCCAAGAGGAAGTTTCCCCGATCACTTCAATCTTATTTGTTCAAGTTAAACGTTATCTTCCCCTCCTATCCATATTAACTACTGTTAACGTAACCATTTGACTCCGGACCTTATACAGACTGAACCTTACTTGAAAAAATATCCATATATATTTGTATTACACGAACTTCACAGCTTTTGTAATCTTTTCTATCACAATATTTATTATCTTATTTTGATAGTATATCGTGTTCAGTATAGTAACTTGAAGGTACTTTTATAGTACATTGAAGGTACTATAAAAGAACGCATATTAGATTTAAAGTCCATGAGTGTCCTTCGGTATATGACATACTGAAGGACCGTCCTGGGTATGATGATAAACTATATCCAGCAGAAAGGCCTCTGATCAGGAGGTTTTGAGCGTGGAGCCACCTCTTAATTGCTGGTGTTCCCAGGTCCACCCTGATTCGGAGTGGTAGCCCCTGTTAGGGTCACAGCTATGGGCAAATAGTTAACTCCTAACCGGAGCCAAAAACACTCTGAAAGTATAAAACAGATTTTTATATTAAAATACCAGCAGTAGATTTTTGAAAAAAATATTACCAGTAATAGATTTTGGAAAAACAATATTACCAGCAATAGATTTTACTCTCGACAAAAACCCTCTTTACAAAAATATGTCAATGAAACCTGATCTACACACTGATAACTTAAAAAGAACACTTATTCTATTCATAAGAACCTATTTTTAAAATTTTCATTAAATAACCCATTGAGGATGATATGACGTAACACAAAATAAACCAAACAATACTGAAGGAAATCGCTTGTTAAAGCTGTTTCAAAAACTTAACAATTTAATAATAAGAAGTATCTAGCTGATGTATATCAAAACATCACATGGAAGGAGAAGCAGCACGAACGATATATTGTAGCGAATATTCCACCTGAAATAATGATTTGCCGGCGGAGAAGAAACGTCAATCACGTGGTGTAAAAGACACAATTTTCAACCAATCGCTATTGTTTCGCCTGAATTAAATAAGTCCTCAGGCTTGTATTTCCTAAACAAAACTAAAATAAAACAGATAAATACATGACTTTGCAATAGGTTTTCGTCAGTCAACTACAAAATGCCAGCTTTGTTCTTCAAAAAGGGAAACAAAGAGGCTCGAGATCAAAAGACACACCGACAACTGAATCTACATGACAATATGCATGTACTTCCTTTTTTTTCCCCTGTAAATTTTAAGTAATGACAGTTAATATGTACAAATTCTTTCTATATCAGACACCTGTCCATTTCTACGAACATTTCAATAATAAAACTGTTCGGCAAAATATCAATTAATACACTTTTGTATTCAAATAAAGACGTTTTAAATTTTACCACAATTATCGGAATTTTATTTACTATGATTAATTACCAACGCTCCTATAAAACGTATCCTGTAGCGTCCTTGGAAGTTGTAAATTTAGTTCCTGAGTTTAATCACTATGGTCAACCAGATTGTCGGTTGCCGATTTGGTTCTGCTGGTCATTATACTTTTAGTTGTTCTGGCTTTTAAATATCACCAGTCGGCTAGGTGACAGTTGCGCCGGTTCCAGCTCTGTCGAAGGTTTTGAATTCAAAATTTCCTTCTCCTAAAATGGTTACCATCCAAGGCTATAGAGTCTAGACTGAATACTGTTAAAAATGATTAACTCCATCCGGCAACAAGGCCTCTGATCGGGTGATTTGGAAGAGCATGGAATCACCTCTTAATTGCTGTTGTTCCCAGGTCCACCCTGATTTAGCGTGGTAGCACCTGTTAGGGTCCCAGCTATGAGCAAATAGTGAAGCCCAAAACTGGGGGTCAAAACACGAATGCATAAAAATAAATTAGAAAAAATTGCCAGCAATACACTTTCATAGTAAAAAAATAAATTAAAAATTACCAGCAATACATTTTAGAAAAAAAGTTAAAATTACCAAAGCTCACAAGGAAAATAAAATTTTGGCATTAAATGACCCATAAGGAGTTGATATGCCGTTAAACATACAAAGCAAGC